CTCTCCTCTCCGTGAAACGCGGATTCCTTGTGCCCAAGGGACCTCGGACCTCGCGAGGTCCCTTGGGCACAAGGACGAAATGGCTGGGGCCACAAGGATGCCGCAAGGAATGTTCCTTGTGGCGTTTTCACATTTCTTTTTCAATTTCGTCCCCAAGGGCAGGTGGAACAAGCGCGTCCTTGTGGATTTCACGTCCCCAAGGAGTGTCTAACGACGCCTTGATGCCTATGGACTCCCTTTTTTTTTTTTTTTTTTTAAGGAAAAAAAAGAAACTTGAGAAAACGAGAGAGCCTCTTCGAGACGTTCAGAGGCTCAGGGCGACCGGACCAGAATGGCTGGTCGTGCCAGCCAAATTGACAATGAAAATGCAGCGCTAGCGTTTCGGCAACTCTTAGGGGCTCGCCACAACAGTGTCGAAAACACTAAATTTTCAACAACTGTCAGGCATTTTTCGACATTCATGGGTTCGAAGAAAAAAAACGTCTTCGCCACACAGCTCTTTTCGACTCGGCGGGGTTTTGAGGCTGTGTAACTGAAGACAGGATTTCCAAAGCACCTCAACTCTGACAGTGGTCGAAAAGTCGCTCGTTTTCACAAGCTCCCTATTGTGGTTTCGAGTTTTGGCCTGCTGCAGGCAGGCGGTTTCGAGTTGGAACGGCTGTTGTTGAAAACTCATACCTGACACATGTCATTTGGGAAAAAAAGACTCGACACCTGGTGTGGCGATGCACAAATGTCGAAAAAAGAGTTTTCGGCACTGGTGTGGCGAGGCCCTTAGTGCAGAGCAGGAAGCCGCCGGCTGGCATGTAGCCGAAACTTCAGGCGCTCAACCTCCGGAGCACAATGGCTGGTGGCGCCGGCCAAAAAAAGGCCCGCTCCATCTTTTCTTCTTTTTTTGTTTTTGAAAAGCCCCTATGCACAGCCTCAATTCCAGTGGTGGTAAGAGAACCACCGGAATTGCGGCTTTGCCTGTCAGGTTGCTCCGTCTATTGGTGGGGAGCGCCACCTGAAGGAAACTGGGTCCAGCATCCCTTGGATACATCTTATGAGTACAGTGTTTGCGGGGGCTGTGGCCATGTCAGTTCCTACCCTGGAGCACCATCTTCCCCTCTGGGCTGCTTCATTCACCCTCCCTTTTTTTTGTTTTTTTTGTTTTAGAAAACGGGCCCAATGCACCCTCCCAACTTCCAGAGCTCCTTCCTACTAACCCAGCCCTCACCCCACGCCATTGTTTTTACTTTGGCGAACAGCAGATTTCCAGCCCCAGAGAAAAGTGCCTCAGATACATCGCCCCC